CTAGACTTTACCTTGCTACAGATATGTGTATACATTCACTTCAATCGTTATTCACTTCTTAAAAGAGTGTTTTTCAGACACCCCGCTTCATTTAACTTTCGTAACTTTGTTGTTGTTGTTGTTGTTATTCGTTTATCCTCCTACTTCACGAGGTCATGGTCACAATGTAAACCCTCTTTGTATCGTTAGCTACCACCAGTGTTTCCTCATAGTAATTGGTTGTTGTAGTTTTTTAAAATTAAAAACTATCGTTCATTTAACATTCGCCATTTACAAACAATCAGATCAATCAGAGCGAGTGTTACAATAGCCTGGTTCTCGCTTGCAAGGAGCCCTTGCTCGCCTGTATCTGTGGCGCTGCAGGAGGGCAGATAGACTCGCTCTGATTGGTGTGATTGTTTGTAAATGGCGAATGTTATTTACGAAAGTTAAATGAAGCGGGGTGTCTGAAAAACAATCTTTTAAGAAGTGAATAACGATTGAAGTGAATGTATACACATATCTGTAGCAAGGTAAAGTCATGTAGAAGGAAACGGTAGGGTTTTTTTCGCGCCAATAGCGGCGTACGGGCCGCATTCGCAGCGCATGCATTTTGCATGCGATCTCACGAAATTTCAATGAACCCCGTTTTGTCCCAATATAACCCTCACCAAAATATAAAAAAGGTTATATGGGACAGAATTATTCGGTCTACATGATTACATGAGCAGGGCAATGATTTTACACGTTTCATATAGATCATATAGATGTATCGGTGCAAATCCACTTTAGGCACCTTAGGTATCACGAAGTGATGCACAGATTTCTGTGTATCATCAACTGATGCACAGATTTCTGTGTATCATCAACTGATGCACAGACTTTCTGTATATCAAGGAATGATGCAAAAACCCTAACCCTAACCCTAACCCTAACACACTTTGTGATACCTAATGTTATACTTTATGACTTGGGGTAATAGGGTTAGGGTTTTTGCATCATTCCTTGATATACGGAAAGTCTGTGCATCAGTTGTTGATACACAGAAATCTTTGCATCACTTCGTGATACCTAAGGTGCCTAAAGTGGATTTGCGCCCCATGTATCATGTATCAAAAGATATAATCATATGATCAGGAATGTTTCTAGAAAATGTTGAGTGCCGGGTAATCAGACATCGAATCCTTCCCCCCCCCCAGATTTTGTATGTGGGTCGTGTTAGCATGTACAGTAACAATATCGATCGCAAGCGGCCAGCGTAGAAAATCGCGCAGTGTGTCCTAGGCTTTATGAATGATCGCTAATAATTGCGGCATGTGACATAAGTTAGTACATTTTAATTACAACAAAATGCTCAAACAGCAATTAAGCACTTTGTTGTTGAATGATTTATACAATAATTCACTCAATGGACCATTCGTAAATGATGATGTCCTATTTGATGTAATTTTGTTCCGGGCGGAAAACGGCAATTTTTTTTGAGTGCCGGTTGGAAATCAAAAGTAACGGCACCGCCCGGCGCCGCCCGGCGCCGCCCGGCGTGGGAACATTCCTGTATGATAATAATATTTAATGTGTTCATTCATCAAATTATTCCCAACTGGCCAACACAACATTAACAACCTAATACTAATAGTAATACTGTCAATGTCATACACACAGTGTATCATGTATGTGTGTGCATGTGATGTGGACTGTGGTGTGTAATTTATTTCTACCACCAATCATAAGCCCATCGTTAAAACCAGGGTCCTAAAGTAGTACGTACGGCACAATGGCTTAGCTGTACGGCACAAGTAGATACATGAAACAGTGCACTGAATGCACCAATAATGCAGGATTGACAATTAATGCATCTATGATCTCAATTTGTTACACACATACATAGGCCGTGTTTGTTTGGTCGGATCCACGGATCTCGATCCACTGGATCTGTGGATCTGACTGTTTGTTTGGTCGGATCCACGGATCTCGATCCACTGGATCAAACCCTAACCCAAACAAATGCAAACTCACTTTCAACGGTTCGCGTTTCGCTGTGACCTATCACAGGATGGTTCATAACAAAGAACAAGCTGTGATTGGCTGAGGTGCGGGCCGCCATATTGGATAATAGCTTACATTACTGTTTTACCTGAAGGATATCACGCTATAATTTATCAACATTTTACAAATTTGAAATCTATATATATATCAGGGGTTAATAATGACAATTTTGTGTGTGTAACTTTTTTGACTTTTTTTGACAAATTATTATTTATTTGTCATTATTAACCTCTGATATATACATATATATATATAGTATGATAGTATGAATACATAGTCGAATCCACCTCGCTAGCAGGGTCGGGTTTGGTGGATTCAGATTCGTGGATCTGACCAAACAAACAGTCAGATCCACAGATCCAGTGGATCGAGATCCGTGGATCCGACCAAACAAACACGCCCATAGTTCACATATAGTGATACACGGTTTTTCAACATATGTTACCTACGTGGAATACCCCCATTACATGCACGATGTACTGTCTTACACAAGATGTGCAAAGTAAATTTTCACTATATAACCCTAGGAGAATAATAGACCTGTTGGTGTGAGTGGTAGAACTTCACTTTATGTTTAATATATATTTTCCTGGTTTTACGGTGTTTCAGGAAAGTAAAGATTTAGGATGGTATTCTTCACGTGTAACAACTGCAATGAGACGCTGAAGAAAAAGGATGTTGACAAGCACTGCATGACAAAATGCAGAAACTGTCAAGTCGTTTCCTGTGTTGACTGCAGTAAGGAATTCTGGTATGTATTAAAGTAAAATATATGAACAATAAGAACTACAGCTTGCTATACCAATGAGGTGCGCGGGTGTGATCAGCAATGTATTAAGCTTTTCGTGGCCGGATGGGTGCACAAAGTCAACTAAAGCTAACTACCACTTGCTACCTTTCACACACGATATAATTACCCAAAAAAAGCACCCAAGTACTTACCACTGAACTACATTGACTGGATTGCGAGAGATATCCAGCATGACATAGCGGACATGCAGACACTGATGATGGACAAATATTCATGGCATGGCATTGTGAACTCTATCTCGTATCAGGATACATCCTCTGAGTAGTAGTGGTAGTACTTGCTACTGGTACAACAACCTATATGCAGGAATCAATGCACAATGTGAATAATCCCTGCCTGAATATGATGAATATAAAGTAATAGACCGACTGAGTTCGTAAAAATTATTAATTGCCGAAAGGGTATTTGTTTGACCATTTTTATTACTAAGTACATACTGTATAATATTTTTTCTGGGAGAACGTGTCTCTGACCCGGCAGCTTCTGCTGTTTTTCAATCTGGCTAATAAGTATGTCACGGGTATGAGGAACGCAGGACCTTTTATTACTTCTTTAGGTATCGTGGTATATCAGGGGTTAATAATGTCAAAATTTTGTGTGTTGCAAAATGTTGAAAAAATGACAGTTGCACGTCTGCCAAATTGTCTTTGGACATTTGCTGAAAAAATACGGCAATTCCGCGAGGCCATGGTCTGGAACGAACAAACTGGAACAAACTGGAAAGATAGCAGAATTTTCAGGGAGTTACACGGAGTCCTGCATATGTCAAAACAGGGAGTATTTGACTCCGGACTCGCGTTAATTTCGCACCCTGCTTACTGACTTACAATGCGCATAAAAGTTCATTCATAGTGCATGTTCAACATTGCAGGGGAGATGAGTATAAGCAGCATATCAAATGTATTAGTGAGGAAGAAAAATACTCTGGCAAAGACTTTAAGCCAAAGGTCAAGAAAGGAGAGGCGAAACAAGAACAATGGATGCAGGTCAGCAAAATATCCATAATATATGCCTTTATATATGTTATAAGTTGTATACAAATGTAGTTTAGTAGCTCAACACGTACATGTGTGATTAGACAGTGGGCTTATATTATCATGAACAGTTCACGTAAATGTGGGGAATTTATTGCCCTATTAAAGGCAAATGGTTCTATTCAAATAAAAGCTTTGTATGTAGAAAACTGGTTGAGTCATGAGAATAAATCGGTCACAATTGCTATAATTTAGCATGATCAACATGGATGTTTATAATGGCTTTTATAACTAATATTAATGTTATTCTGCTTGTGTTCGAAATCTGTATAGTTTGAGAAAATTCATGTGCTTATATATTAAAACTGCTTAAACAATGCTTTACAGAATGTTCAAGAAGCAGCAATAAATGCGAAGAATCCTAGAGTGGCAGAACTAATGGGTAAAATAGTCGAGTTTACCAATATTCCCCGGAAGAAGGCAAAGTTTGAAGTAAGTTTATTAATTATTACATTTTGCATATCTAAACATGTTGTATAATTATTGTAGCGAGCAGTGCTATTTTATGCAAGCCATAATAGTTTATGATATTACTGAATTAAAACCAATGACATTCTCTGGTTTATTCTAATTTCACTGTAACGAAATCGCTTGCACCTGTGTGCATACATGTATACACCATTACTTACGGCCAATCCTTTGCACTTGCAGAATTTCATCAAGAATAGTGTGCGTGTGTACGATGCTACTCTCATCGACCAAGCATGGGAGATATTCTCAGCTAAACCAAAAGAGGTAAAGTGATGTCTTATTAAAATATGACTTTGGCTAATAACCAGGATTTTGTATTCAGTAATCCAGACTGTATTTGTTTTTACTAAAATGAGTACGCTTCTTGTGTTTTTCCTTTTACCCAGAGTGGTTACTAGTAATTACCATATTTGTTTCTTAGCAAGAACAATTTCTCTTGTTATATTGACTATAACTAGCTGAGAGATGCAGCAGCATTTTGTTGTTGCAAATGCCATATGAAGATGGGTCTCAGCCAGGATCATTTAGGGACCAAGTGAATATACATTTTATTTTGCATGTGATATAGAGTGTAGATACTCACAGAAACATGTAGCATGCGCGTTACTATAATTAAGTTTAATCGTCTCTAGGAGGAACAGCAGAAGAAGGAACCGGCTGCATCACAAGTAGACTCGTGTGAAAGCACAGCTGATTCAGCATCAGGTACAGAGGCTGCAAAGAAAAAGGAAAAAAAGAAGAAAAGCACAAAGGAGAACGCAGAAACTGTGATAACTAATGGGAACACTGGCATCACGGAGAGTCAATCGTCCTCTGCTAAGAAAGTGAAAACGAAGAAGTCTGGCAAAGAGAAAAACAAAGCAACAGAGGAAACCTTAGCCAGTAATGGAGTAACAGAATCTAACACGAAAAAGAAGAAAAGAAAGCTCACGAATGATGAACCAGTAGATAGCCAATCGAAAAAAGCCAAGCATGGTAATTGAATCAATTGCAAAAGCAATAAGGAATTTTTAAAATCGACCTGAAAGATAGTTTATAAATATTAATAAAATCTCAATAGTATTGCTGAATTCGGCTACCATTTATAGTTATACCATACACGTTATATAGTTATACCATACACGTTAGTGAAAGGTTAAGCCTACATAGTGGTAGCATTCAAAAATATGGATTGTTCATCGAGTGTTTGAGGTTATCCTAAATTACATGTGTGCTGAACGAGTGGCTTACATAGCTGGTTCATCTAAATTTAGTTTTTTTTATAATTTCATAATGTAAACTGACCGATTCATAATTTCTTTTTCCGCTCTCCATACTCAGATGAGGAAAAAGATGATAAGGGGCAGAAGTTCTGCTGGAAAAGGGTCATCAAGAAGACCCTACGAGAAGCCCCTGACCACAAAATGAAGATCAAATTGCTACGCAGTAAGGTAGGTTTTAACTAGATGGTCTTTCTTACAGAGCCATTAAAAAACCTGTTGAGAATAGTGTCTGTACTGCATGTATAATATACGATTTTCGGTTGATAATTGCAAACTGTTATTTACTATATAAAATGTATTTGATCTTCAGGTTATTGCAACCTATGTGCGGAAGCAGAAGAAACACGAAAACATGGAAGCTATGACTGATGAAGATCTCCTCAAGTTGTTTGGTCGTGAAGTCCTCAAAAACAAGAAATTCAGTATACACAAGAAACGAGTGCAACTTGTTGCTTAACGGATATTTTACTTAGTAAAGATATTAACATTTGAAAACTTATATTTTCATACATTTAATTGGGACATCATGATCATATTCAGGCAAAATTTTGTCAAACCATCAATTCACCAGGTTCTGCATTGCTTTTTTGTCATAGTTTAATCGTAAACTATGTACAATTGGTACAATACTTGCTATATTTTATCATGTACGGATTTTCACGTGTACAGACATTGCATTAGTTTTTAAAATAACACAAAAATTGTGTATAATAGTTTGTGACTGTTAAACCCGTCGTGGTATTGTAGGTAGAGGTGATTATTGATTTGAAATATGAATGATAAACATCAAAAACGTCGACACACGAAAATCAGAGATTCTATAGCATTATCGTATACAAGTTGTTTTTGTTAGTTTTCATGTTCGTATCATATAATAGTAATACCAGCAGTATATTTAAAAATGATGAGATGCAACCTTGATGTATTTGCACACAATTACATATTTGTAGGGAAGGTGTTATGAGTTTTTGGGGGACTATATAATACTAGCTTTTTTATTAAAGGCATTCGATATAAGGTCTTTGTCCTGGTTTAGCTGTCTTTCGTCATACAGTTTATTATGAGCAGTGTATCATACGGAATATGTGTTGTATAATAAATGCATTGTTGATGTGACTGTATATTTTTATGTTATTTTCCGTATTACATCGTTGGACTATCAGGCGATTTTAACTGATGGCTAATGTAAATTTTTTTCGCGAAAACATTACCATAATAATGTTGCTTTATTGACGATGTAAACTTTGGTGTGTGCCTTACTGTCATATATATAATACTTCAGCAGGTGTGTTGCATTGGGTTGTACTTTTTAAGCGCTAAGTTGGTAACAAGTTTTTTTAACGTTTTCACTGTGTGCGTTCGTGCGTGCGCGCGCGTGTGTGTGTGCGTGCGCGCGCGTGTGTCTGTGTGCGCGCGTGCGTGTGACGGTAGTTGGCGTTGGTGCACGGAATGACATCTCTTGGGTAGCGTACGCGTTTGTGTTTTGAACTCTGCGATGAACTTTCTAGTTCATGGTTGCGGTGTAGTCGTATGTGTAGGGTCGCGCCATCAGGGCAGTATAAATAACGCGGTGCCTGCATGGTAAAGGCATCAGTCACAGGATTGGGTCAATGCTCACTGCCCTACATCTCAGAGAAACAATTAAACTACCATCACTAGTTAACGCGTCTTGTACAGGTCCGTTACCTGGTACACTAACTACCTACCCCGCTACCCGTGACAGCGGGTGATGTATACGGCTGGGAAATAGTAGCGTGCGTTAATCATGACAAATTTGTCATTATTAACCCGTGATAGTAGTAAGCGGTTTGGCGGTGCAAAGCTGTTGCGAATTTCACCTCGGCAGCAACGAATAATATTGCACATATTTGAAAGTTCATTGTTTGCACATATTAAAACACGGTAATTATAGTTATAATAATAGTTATATTCCACGGTTATTATTAAAACACGGTAAAGAATGTGTGAAGTAGGAAAAGTATTATAAAGTAATGAGCCTAATATAAGAAGTAATTAAGGAAGTTAGCTAAGCCTATGAATCGTCTATGAGTGACGCGTGACTTATCTTGATATATTAAGTGTACATTGGCTAATGGGTTTACGTGTTGATGGCCAGTATAATTTCGTAGAGCATGTCTTTGCGTATTGCGAATAATCTACCAGTACGATTTGATGGGTATTATAACGATTAAGGTATATTTAGACAACCTCTATTTAATTTATTTTAGAAGAAAACCTATAAATGTAGTAAGTATTTTGGCAGATATGACTTGGGTTGGGTTACCTGTACGTACGGTAGCAATATGATGGGGGATTTAATGGCAGACGTGACCTATTATATACGTCTTGTATCGTTATATTACGTATTATTATGAGCCATTGTAGGTCGTCCGCGCGCGTATGTGCGTGCGTGCGTGTGTGCGTTGCTGGTGTTGTGTGTTGTGGCGCGCAGTTGTGGTTTGTGTGTGTTTGTCTGTCTGTCTGTGGGGGGGGGGCTGCGCGCGTGTATGCGTGTGCGCGTGCGTGTGATGTTTGTGTGTACGTGTCCGTGTATCGGTGTGCGTGCGTGCGTGCGGCTGTGCCGTGCGTGCGTGCGTGCGTGCGTGTCCTGTGTATCGTGAGTGCGTGCGTGTCCGTGTATCGGTGTGCGTGCGTGCATGTGTGTGTATGGGATTTCGGGACACATACATACCGGATACGTCAGTATATTATTAATTTAACAATAATTAGAACAAACCTGATGGTATATTTGATGAATGCGTGTTTTCTTTTGGTACCCTCAGCCACGCGAAGTTGACGTATTTTTGGTAATTATTAGGTAAAATTAGGTGCAATTACGTGAAATGCACATTCAGGTATATCCCTATTATAATTACTCAGTGTGCATGACGATTCTTACCGCCTATCATAACATGGCGATGTGTACAACGGCACGCGAAAACAACATATATTATATTAACTAACTATACGCAACCTTAACGACACGTGTTAAACACGAACCAGGTATATATTAATTTACTATACGCAACCTTAAACGATAGGCCCTACTAATGTTAAACACGAACCAGGTATATATATATATATATATTAATTAACTATACGATACATTGACGACACGTGTTAAACAGGGATACTATATGTAAGGCCATCGTCAATATGAAATCGCTACCCGAGCTGGTACGTTACCGTTTAGTAACCGTTGATGACGGCAGACGAGATGTCAGACGATAGGCACCTAATCCCAGCCACTTATATGCAGCTCCGTCATGCAGTTACCGTTACACGTGTGTGTGTGTGTGTGTGTGTGTGTGTGTGTGTGTGTGTGTGTGCGTGCGTGTGTGCGTGCGTGTGTGTGCGTGCGTGCGTGCGTGCGTGCGTGTGTGTGTGTGCGTGCGTGTGTGTGTGTGCGGGCGTGCGCGCCGTGTGTGTGTCCTGCCGCGCGCGTGTGGTGGGGGCGGCGTGCGTGCGTGCGCACGTCTGCTGGTGGTGGTCGTGTGCTGCGCGCGCGCAGGTCCATCGGCGTGTAGGCGGCATTACACTCCTATAAACACCACCACCATCATACCTCCTGCAGCAGCAGCAGCAGCAGCAGCAGGGCGTGTTCTCGTTACGGTCAACACACATACAACACCTAGATGTCTTATAGGTGAACTGTTACCAAACACGGCGTACGTGCGTGTATCGGTTTGCGCTGCGGACACACGCTAATCCGACGTCGTTGCATGCGGGTGGATTTTCTTCGCACGTTCGCAGTTGACTCTGAGCATCAGAAGGTAAGGTGAAATCTTAGACATTAGTATGAAGCAGAGTTTTTCTATGTATGTCCGTGAAAGATTCTAATTATATAATAACTGAAATAGAATTGTGCTTCATAATAGCTATAATTTATAAATGTATCAATATGATGAGAGTGCGACGGACCCAATTCTTAGTGAAATAATCTTGGATATGGTGTGAAGCATGCATAGTGTTTCTATGTATAGCCTGAAAGATTCTAATGATATAATACCTGAAATAGTATTGTGCATTATATCTATAAATATATTAGTGTGAATTGAGTGTAACGGACTCGATTCTCTTTGTCAATTGATTTTACGTTCTTGATCGTAGTTTCTTGCAAACGCTATTAAATCCGTTATCGCGTAGACGTTACAAGGAAAATTTAAACTCCAGTGCATATTGTGCAATATCTACATCTTTAATGCATTTTATCAGACCTTATAGATAATATACGGATGTTTATTTTTTAGCTTGATACGAGGAGGTACAAAATGCTGCGATTTCTCATGCTATGCTGCCTGGTAAGTGAAATACTGACGAACAGTATTCTAACGAATACTGACGTATTGTCATCCATCAAACTATTATTTAAAATGATATAAACAAAGAAACAAACAAATAATAATCATCATATTATCTTTATCGCGTTTGAAGAATCTATCTTCGTATAGTGAGATCAGATCTTCGTATTCGCATCGGGGTGTTCGTAACGCGAAATCCGCTAGGCCTAGACGTTGGAGTGTGAAAAGGTAGAAATGTGGGCCATTTGATCTAGTTCCTATTCACGTCGCGTATATTAGGACATAATTGCTTACGTGTCGTGACCGGGTGCCGCGAGGGGTCACCGGGGTGATAATATAAACGCCCGATGCCTTGTTAGTGTGCTGGTGTGCTCGTGTGTGCTGTGTTGTGTGTGTGTGCTGGTCGTGTTGCTGTCAGTTTGTGTGTGTGTGTGTGTGCTGCATGTACCGTGCTGTGTGTGTTTGGTGTTTGTGTGAGTGTCGGTGTTGTGTGTGTGTGTGTGTCGTGTGTCTGTGATGTCCGTGTGTGTTGTGCGCGTGTGGTGTGCTGTCGTGTGTGGTGTCGTGTGTGTGCGTGTGGCGCGCGTGTGTGCGTCGCGTGAGCTGGTTGCGTGCTGTCATCCGTATGCTGTGTCGTGCATCGTGATGTGCTGTGCCGTCTGGTGTCGTGTGTGCTGCTGCGTGGTGTCGTGTTAATGTAATGCTGCTGCGTGTGTGTGTGCTGTGTGGCTGTGTGTGCTGTGTGTTGTGTGTCGTGTGTGTCGTGTTTCGTTGCGTGCTGTAGTGGTGATATGTATGTGTGGCGTGTGATGCGTGCAGCTGTTGTGGCCTCGCGCAACAAAGCTCTGAATATATTAGAGCGCCTACAACGTGCCGCGCGCTCGAAATGGGGTCCACTAAGATCGATCACGCGTGTGTCCATCGATTCAGAGGACCATTACTGCAGTGCGTGTCACTTTTATTTCGCTGCAGGTCGGCACATACCCCCGGGCGAGTGCAGCGCTCGACTTTCTGTCGTCTGCCGGTGAAAGTCCGTCGCCTTCGGTAGAGGCAGAATGCATTCATACAGAACCAACAAGGCGGGCTGAACGGTATACATTCGTCGGCGGGCGGATTTGGCTCTGCCGGTCCGTTCGGCGGCGGATTCGGACAACAGACGAAACTTTCCGGATTCCGAGTTTCCAATCGGGGCGGGTTATCGCATCATCAGCCGCTAGGAGGTTACTCCGGATCGTCTCCGATAGGGATTGGGAGGGGTACTCCCGACCAGGGTCAACAGACGCTGGGAGGTTACTCTGGGGCGTCCTCCATAGGGCTTGGAGGGTTCTCCCGACCAGGAATACAGGCACCGCTCGGCGGGCACCAGGAGCCAAATTCGGAGGCTATTCTACGCTCCGGGAACCAACATTTGGAGGTTATTCCACGCACCAGGAACCAAGATTTGGAGGTTACTCAGCGCACCAGGACCCGAGGTTTGGCGGATATTCCTCGCAGCAGGGTCTAGGGGGATACCAGGGACGTGGATTCGGAGGCGTTACCTCGCAACTCGGTCCATCCATCGGCCTTAGCAACAACGACTTCCTCCAGGCGTCGCCGTATCGCGAACACTCGATCGGATTCGGGACAAACAACATACAGGATCTGTCGTCGGGATCCGGGGGACCGCGATCGTACGGCGTTCCACGCGGCGGTCCCTACCGCGGTCTTCCGTCTACTCACAACGCAGATTACCCATCGGCGCGCAGGGGCAAGGGAGACTCTAACGTCGTCACGACCGGGTTTGTAACGGAGTACGGTTACGAGGAGCATCCGAGCCACGACGCGGGCGAGCCGACGTTTAAACACGACCCCAACGCCCCCTTGCCGCATCCCAGCACGAACAGAGGTAAGTACGTCGGCGGAAACCCGGAAGAAGCGCGCCTCGGGGAACGTCTCGACTTCCGGCGGCCATTTTTCGTGAACCGCGCTCCCCTGCTGGTGGCGCCATCCTCGGACGTCGCTGAGCTTCTGAACTTGATTAGCGATGACCAACAACAACCTCCGTTTCAGATCGTGGAGGAAATTTCAAGGGTTAGAGAAACCGACGACGACGATGATGATGCCGACGACGACGACGACGACGATGGCCAACCAAAACAAACATCGATTACGGGTCCCGAAAAGATAAACGAGGAGGAAGAGGAGGAGGAGGAGGAGGAGGAGGAGGAGGAGGAGGAGATGGTTGCGACTGGTTATACCTGGCAACGAGGCAACCTACAGGGATACGGTCCAAACGAAGGCGTTGCTACTCCTTCCAGAAGAACATACGACTATATCGTCATCCAAGGCCCCGAAGGCCCCCGCTTGCATTACAATATAGTTAGCAACGCACCAAGAAGACAAGGCGTTGAGACGGTAGTAGGCGTTAACCCTGCGCGGGAAAGTCAGCCGCCAACAATAGCTTTAGAACCATCGTCGATTAGAAGCCCATCGGAGTCCATAGCAACGCAGTCCAATTATCATAATCAGAACGACGGGAAAGATGATGTCACGGAACAACCTGCTGTTCTTTATGTTCCGTCGCTGTCTACGGCAGAAGATGCTGATAATTTTGAAGATAATTATGGACCGGTCGAGGAAAATGCGGAAATTGTAGAAATGCCATTTGCTGGTGTTCCATCAGGAGATGCTGTTGAAATTGAAGAAATCGAGGAGCCGGGAGAAGATGATGTTATATACTTACCTACCGTCGACGTTGCGTCGCCGACGACGGGAGATGAAGTTTCAGCATCTGTAGAAGTGAATGAGAGAAACGACGACATCGTGGATCTACCCCCTGCACCATCGTTCACCATGGACACCGCTGAATTCGAACAACTCCTAGAGATGACCGAAGGAAACGGCGACATCATCGACCTGCCCCCGATCGCTGGTCCACCGTCCGACATCAATCCGCTATCATACGACGACATGGACCCGACGGTCGATACGTCGCAGGCACCTGGTGACTACGGCAACCAGCCGTTACAGGCTATTGTCTACTCGCAAGGCCCCGTGCACAACTCGCATCAGCGGGAGAGCGTCGTTAGCACGGGCAAGGTGTGGAAGAAGGGAACCATCTACCGATCCGACGGCAGCGGTGACAATGTCGAGGTCAGCATGACGCCGTTTGGCGACGAGGTCAACTTTGTCATCAGGAAGGACCAACGCGACCGCCAGCCGCAGGTGGAGTATTACCAGGAGTCACGTAAGGAGGTCGGACACGAACCGGACAGCGGCTACGGCCGGTCGGACGGTTCCCCTGGACGGTCGCATAACGGCGGATTCGGCGGCAGCGGGGATCACTCGTTTGGGGGTCACGGCGGGGGATACGAACCCGGATTCGGCGCCCGCCATCACGATCCGGTCGGATTCGGTAGCGTCTACGGTGCCGTCGGATCTCCTCACGGATCGGACGGTTACGGACCGTTCGGCGGTCGCGGCTATAGCGGGTATGGCGGACCGGGAGCGTTCGGTGGGTACAGGAGCGGTGCGGGGCACCACGCGGGCCACAGCGCGCAGTACAACCCTAACGGTTACAGCAGCGTGTACGGGGCAGTGGGCACGGGCGTAGACCAGCTAGGTGCGTTCGGTATTAGGAGATACGACGGCCAGGTTGGAGGGCATTCGGGAGGCATCCATCACGGAGGTACGGGGGGATACGGTCGACCCATCGGATATCGTGGGTACGGTGGGGGTCGTGGGGGTTATGGAGGTTTGGGTGGAGGTTATGGAGCCATCGGGGGTGGATATGGAGGCGTAGGAGGCGGATATGGAGGCGTAGGAGGCGGATATGGAGGCATAGAGGGAAGTCACGGTGGATATGGCGGTCTTGATGGAGGTTATGGGGGCATAGGTGGACATGGGGGTATCGATGGGGGATATGGGGGCAGAGGAGGTAGCAATGGCGGTCTTGGTGGAGGTTATGGGGGCATAGGTGGGCATGGTGGTATTGGCGGGGGATATGGGGGAATAGGAGGTAGCCATGGCGGTCTTGGTGGAGGTTATGGGGGCATAGGTGGACATGGGGGTATTGGCGGTGGATATGGGGGAATAGGAGGTAGCCATGGCGGTCTTGGTGGAGGTTATGGGGGCATAGGTGGACATGGGGGTATTGGCGGTGGATATGGCGGGCCATTAGCGCTGGAAGAGTGCGTATTTGCGAGGGAATCGGGGTATTAGGAAGCGTTATTGCGGCGGGCACATACACAAAAAACAAAACAAAAAGGGCAGGCATGGGTGGTATTGGAGGTTATATGGGTGCAGAGGTGTGACATTCGGTGGACATAGTACATTTAGGGATCAAATCTGGTGGTGGACTCGCGCCGGGTTTCCTGGTGGATTTGCAAGACGACTTTGATGGATTTGGTGGCGGGCCTAAAATTTTTAGACCGCGATTTTTTACGAAATGTGCTGCTGATCAACATGATCATAACTATATAGGTTTGATAGTCAGTCAGTCAACGTTCAAACCATCACCCCAGGGCTGAACATATCGGCATTAGGACTGTAGTAATTGGCTGTTCAGCCACAAACCCTCACAAACTTTTCGCGTACTCATTTAGGAGGATTCTACCTAATTTTATGTTCTTTTGCGTTACAAACCCGTCCCAGAGAAGTAATTTAAAAATCTCTTACACGCGTCTACCGCGCGTAAATACATCGATGCGTCAAAAAATGAAACATGAACGTCATTTGAACACGAAAACAGCGAATGCGCCCATATATATTATTTATATAGTATATATATATATATATTAGCTATAGGCCTCTATCTGCCTCAATCCAGCCCTGAATGCGCCACATACTGCAGTCTACGTCATTCGCCTCCATATCTCATCAGCACGCATGCTCATTATAGATCGCTTTACACACTACTATATATATCCATTATTTTATCACATGTTATTACGCCATGTAGCCCTTTTCACCTCACCTCTCCTGAAGAGTCATGGGCTTTGTCAAGTTATTTGCGAGTGGCTACAATCAAGTTAACCAAACACCAAAATCTAACGAAAACGATTTTTCGATTTTTCGACACCGGTGTACATAGTGTAAATATTTACTGGCCTACTAAAATCTTATTGGGGTTTAAAAAGTCGCAGGAATTCTGAGGTTTTTGGAAAAGATCGAAAGTCGGTGGAAAGGGTTATAGCTGAATAAATATCATAGTGTCGCGTACTCATCGTAAATAAGCATACTAAAATAAGTATCGTTCACATTGCAAAAAGGTTATATATATATTCTCATGTTTTTACTGCCACCAGCATTTACTGTTTGTTATCTCATTCAAGATACTTACGCGAAGTTATGTTTCTCGTGAAGTTATGTATAAATAAAGCTATTATATTGTTGTTATTGCACAAATACTGAATTTGGTGATTATACATTTTATGAGAAATAAAATTAATGGTTTTGTCCGATAACACAGTCTGAATATACAACATGGCGCTTGCCGAACCTACATATCTCTCAATTGTTAGGCATGATTTGCCGTAGTTAAATAGAAGTCATAAGATGACCCATAGTAAACCCCCGCTATATTTGGCTCGCGTCTCGCAAATTGTTAGAGGTTTAGAAGCTAATCCCCAGAGGTTACAGAACAAAGCTGTTTTTGTAGTATTTGCTTTTACGATTACTAAAAACAAAGACTAATTATTATACTCGTAATCTTGAGAAAGGCCAGTACTGCTGATGGCTCTGCACTATCTACCTATGAATCTGATATCTGGCATCCGATGTTGTTGGTTGGTTATATGCTGGGTGAGACATTTGAGAGACATTTCATTCTGGGTCAAAATTGTATCGTGAATCTGCTTTCATCTAGCTGCTTACAGTTTTGCGTTGCCGCTATATTCGGACCAATTTTAAACGGTAGATGGCAGCATCTACCAGATGCTGCGTGTTTCGGTGGCTCGTTTTACTATATTATGATCAATGGTAGCTCTAGTACTATAGCCCGCGTTCATTAACTGCGGCAGTTAATGAACGCGGGCTATAGTACTAGAGCTAGATCAATGGCTGATAATGCCTATTATTACATTAGGTATTATTAGCTCTTGATATGATTAATTGACTTATAGTTTCAGTCCACTCGTTCATAGTACCGTGAGGCCAACTATAGGTTGGCCATATGGAATAGAGTGGGTATACTTGGCCCGTAGACGTAGATTTAATTGTGTATTAGTATGTCAATACAACGCCGTTAATAACTGGAGAGCCTGACAGTAACAGTTCGAACATCTTTGACACCTAATGAACACAAACAAGTCCGGCACAATTGCTGCGGACAACACGTGGTCAGAAGCCTTAGAGGGTTCGACATGTGTTAGACATCAAGTACCTTCAAAGGCCTTCCTGTCTGTCCTGGCTCGTTTACTCGTTCTCGGGAGCGCACTACTTTTCACGAATTACGTTATACAATGTCAATAAACAGATTTGAATAACATTCTTCTAACGGATAAGCAATTAAATTTATTATTAATAACTAATGCACATATTTGTATATCGTGTTTGGATGGGTCATAGACATATTTGGATATTGTTCTTTTAATGGATAGGTAATTAAAATCATTATTAATGAGCAACGCACAAGGGAAACAATAATAACATATTCGTAACTCAACAGTTGCATTGAAACAAATATTTTCGTAATATACATTTTCCTCTCAGTGTATCTACAACCCTGAGTCTAACAACTGTTACATATTAAAGTGCAGTGGTACGTATGAAGGTCAATATATCTACAAGACTTCTACCTGAGAATACAATGTTGCATATACCGGAAACACTTATCACGACTTGTGACTACGTTAATTCCAATATCAAGGCTACCGTCTCTAGACTATTTACAATGGGTGGGTTATACCGTGACATATCAGTGGCCTTATCACCGATCTCTATCTCCCTATATCCCACCCACCAAAAAATTCAGTCTTTGAATTTGTTTAAGGCACGAGTGCACATCATCGTTTGACATTTTATCTGGCTACAATGTGCCTTGTTGGCGCCTATATTTTTTTGAGTATACGGTGCACTTGTCTGGGTTTTTTTGTTAGGGTAGTCTGCGCGCGTGATGTGCACGGTAGGCCAGACATCCCAGACACATACGTCATAAACGCGGGATCCGTAGGATAGGTGTCAAGGGCGACAAATTTTTGTTACAACATTTTGTAAATATAACATGGTACAAAGAAACAATACAACGCAGGCCATAACGCTATCGTTGCAAGTGTAGGAATTGCGGTCTCTCTACTTGCTATATTATATAATTAGATATATAATTTTCCCATACTCATTAGTTATATATGTTATCCGATGCTATAAGGTTAAAAAAAACTTGTTGAAGATGCAGGTGGCGATACATCTCTGTGCCATCTCTCTGCTGTTTTACTATAATGGGTCGATATATATTTTCAAGAGAACACAGACTCTTGTTGCTGTGCAGTTTATGCGCACTTGATATACGTTCGGTACGATATTGATCGATATAAATTGTTAAATATTATATAGCTCGATATGTCTCGAAACAATGAACAATAACGAGATATAGTTGAGAGTAGAGAATTAGAGAACCTATTCTCTATTATCTATTCATACACACTTGATATACTATGTAATCTTTCGATGGATGCAAAAACATAAAAACTTGCTGAATTTAATCTCAGAAAAAACGAACCCCTTGTAACGGTAATGCGATAATGCGAGCACAGATAACATCCCTCACCTGTCCTTAACGAGCAGGTACAATATCTCTATTGACGTCTGGATCTAAAGTGGATTAACAATTAAGATAGCATCTGATAAGACGATACGGAAATATTGAATGATGACAACGTACATAGTGATGATGACACGTACACGCGGCCCACGTGCTGATAGGGAGTAGTCTTGTACTTTGGACAGCGGCGTTTTACGCTTGAAGGCTCGCCGTGACTGATAACGTATAGCTGACTACAAATCACGAGGGCAGAGAAGCGTGTGCAGAGATGGATGATGATGCAATCACGCGCGCCACCTCGTGGTCAAGAATCACGCGCGCACGAGTTGTTCACTGTTGACTCACGTGGGGACGCGGATTTTCGGGGGAATTACCCGAGAATTGCTGCGTGGCGTTTTATTTATATACGTCGGTTACTTCTACCTCCTTAGCTGTTGTAGCTTACACGCGTGTTCCCAGTTAGGAAATAAATAATTTACGGAGGCTATACAATCGATGAAGTGTATTTATTTCAGCTATTTTTAATTTCATTCACACTGATCGAATCAGGTCAGTACATATGGTATGTCTGCATCTAAGCCCATCAGATCTAAGTCCACTCTATACTCGCTATATGACCATACCAATCTGAAAAGACTCGTTAGTAAAGTTAGTAAAAACACGTACTACAAGTAGGTTAGTGAACTTGAACTATTATTGATCTGTGGCAGTGGCGACAGGGACTACAGCACTATAGACCTATGATTGATTATATGACCCTCTACTGTGGTTCGGCTTCATCGATCAACAATCAATTGAACTTCTTGATCTATTCTACATCTGTATCACGAAGTGTACACGTGTTAAGGAAAACAGAAATCTCCAACATATCTATGTACAATTTATTCATATATGCTTGTCTCGCTGCCATTTCATCGGAAAGGTTCAAATGAAGGCGGACGTGATATACCAGTAGCATGTAATAAACTATAATATGCTGTGCAAATGGCTAGCCCTGCAGCGCTTGCAAATGTATCCTTCCGATGTAGTCAACATGTAGTTATCAAAGATCGTATATATATACGTATATATATATATATATATATAAGTATATATATATATATATCGTGGAACATGTTGATGACGCATATATTTTATTATTCGCTTATAGTTCATTCATGCCCGCGGTGGTTGATCTCCTTATACGAGCAGCACACCTTATACATGACGTGACAGCTATAGCACACCTGCGACAGCTTGTATCTCTCTATATATACTCACACAACATCTTACAGTTTATGCATTAATATATTTACACATATATTCACACAATTTATGCATCTGCGGCATCGTTTTATATCGATATATATATATATGTATGTGTGTGTGTGTGTGTGTGTGTGTGTGTGTTGTGTG